GGGAGAGGGGAGGGCAGGGAGGGAGGGAGAGGGAGGGAGGGAGAGGGGAGAGGAGAGAGAGAGGAAAGAGAGAGAGAGAGGAGAGAGAGAGAGAGAGAGAGAGAGAGATAGAGAGAGAGGAGAGAGAGAAAGAGGAGAGAGGGAGAGAGAGAGAGAGGGGAGAGAGAGAGAGAGGGGAGAGAGAGAAGGAGAGAGGGGAAAGAAGAGAGAGAGAGAGAGGGGAAATGAGAGAGAGAGAGACGAGAGAGGAGAGGGAGAGAGAGAGAGAGAGGGGAGAGAGAGAAGAGAGAGAGAGGGAAGAGAGAAGAGAGAGAGAGGAGAGAGGGAGAGGAGAAGAGAGAGGGGAGAGAGAAGAGAGGGGAGAGGAGAGAGGGAGAGATGAGGGGAGAGGACGAAAAGAGGAGGAGAGAGAAGATGAGAAGAGAGAAGAGAGAGAGAGAGAGAGAGAAGAGAGAGAGAGAGAGAACGAGAGAGAGAGAGAGAGAGACAGAGAGAGAGAGAGAGAGAGGAGAGAGAAGAGAGGGGAGGGTGGGGAGGGGAGAGGGGGAGGGAGGGTGAGAAAAGGGGGGGAGAGCGAGAAAGAGAAAAAGAGAGATGGAGAAAAAAGAGAGAAAGAGAACGAGAGAGAGAAACAGATAAGAGAAAGAAAGAGAGCGAGAGAGAGATAGAGGCTAAAAACCAAGACAAAGAAACCCACAACGACCACTTAGCGAACCAATTCTTATCATCATTCTTCCCCAGGAGGACATGGCAGACATCGGAGAACAGAAAGGACGACCACTTCCGGTACGACTGGACGTGACAATTTACCGGGATGACAATGCCAGCGCAGTCCTCTCCAGATACACTGTCAACCTCCTTCACATGCAGACCTCCTTCCTCAGTACCAATTTCAACCCATTCGACGTGAGAGAATGCATGGACATCCCCTCACAACGCACCTGGTTGAAGATCACTTATGCAGGTATATTCAAGGGGGGTTTAGAAGTCCTTGTAAAGTATGTTTTGAATTTCGTCTCGAATGTCCGAATAGTGTGAATCTCGCTTTGTTTTGGTCCGGTGGGTTCGAAGCTTCACTCCGACACTTTTCGGGAACTTTATACCCTTTGTGCGTATCTGAGGTTGGTTAGATGCATTTGTAGTGTGTAATGTAATTTGTAGCGTATGTTGCATTCAATGTATTTTGTGTCTGTATTGCTATAAGGAAGAATGGGCAAATATTTCCGGGCGAAATCTGAAATGAAACATGTTTCGAATCCGAGGAAAGTAATCTGTTTTGACTGTTTAGAAGCACCATTCGCGGAGATCTGAACACAACGGCATCTATTCGTTTCAGTTATCCTAAAGTTGATTATTCGCACGAATAATCAAAGAAATAAAGGAATAAAGAAAGGAAGGAATTATATATATATATATATATATATATAATATATATATTATATATATATATATATATATATATATATGTGTGTGTGTGTGTGTGTGTGGTGTGTGTGTGTGTTGTGTGTGTGTGTGTGTGTGTGTGTGTGCGTGCATACATTAGAAGTTCGCTTAGGTTTTAAACAGTGTAAGGCTTGAGCCGTCTTTGGTAGACCAACAAAAGTGCCAACACGTTAACTTTTTTTTCTCAACACTATCAGTCAAGCGTCATTGTTTTCGAAGATTGTGATTGGTTGGTGAGTGCCAGGCATAAGATATAACATGGAAAAAATTATCGGCAAGGTCAGTCGTAAACATTATAGAGAGGGAGAGGAGGGAGCGGAGGAGGAGGGAGGGAGAGAGAGGAGGGAGGGAGGGCAGAGGAGGAGGGAGGAGAGGAGGAGGAAGGGAGGAGGAGAGGAGAGAGGGAGGAGGGAGAGAGGAAGGAGGGAGAGGAGGGAGGAGGAGGGAGGGAGGGAGAGAGAGGAGGGAGGAGGAGGAGGAGGGAGGAGGGAGAGAGGAGGGAGGGAGAGGAGAGAGGAGGGAGGGAGGGGAGGGAGAGGAGGAAGGGTGGATCGAGGGAGAGAAAAAGAGAGCGAGAGAGAGGTAATTGTTGATAACTGTTGATAACTTCACGCCGATTAATCCATGCAATAAAAACAATTACAATTAATGATTATTGTCCTTGTAATGTTTGAAAATCCTGTTTAAAATGTATTGTAGATAAGACCATTTATTACAGTTCATTATCATTATGACAATTGTGAAAGTAAACAAATAGTTATCAAAAGATATAGGATGTATAAAATATTTTTGTCCTATATTTTCCAAGTTCTTTTGTGATGTGTCATTTTCAGACTGAAAGACAGTATGCAGTACTTTCTGATAATAATTATTAATCCAAGACTACCTTCGTGATTTAAGTTTTGCTGGTAATTCATTAAAAGTTACATAAAGTATGGAAAGAAAAAAATGCAATTCATAAGGAAGATATAAGAAAATACCATTGCAATATATATTACCTTATAGATACCAAGGAAGTAGGTTTTTAACCTGACACTGGCTCTTACACGATGGACTTATTGGAACTGCAATAGAAACCTCTTATAATATTTTTTCTTTTAACTTTTATTACTTATTTGTTCTTTTTAACGAGTTCTTGTTGCCTACATATAAAAATTCTAATTTGCTAATTAAAGTTGTAATAAGAGTGGTTGATGTTTTAAATTTGGTTGAATGCTTATTTGTTCATTAATATTGTGGTAAAGGATGTTGATATTTTAAATTTGGTAGGACTGAGGACTTGGTATTTTCCTTGAAATATATAGGTAATATATTTTATGTAATTTAGTAGGAAAAGTACCAAAAATTCTTGATAAATTGATCTTGTACGGTGTGATCTTGGATAATCTTTATCATCGCTATTCTCTGATGTATCAAAAACATGTCAATTTAAAGAAATATCTCAATTATCGACGCACTTTTGTAGATCTACCAAAAACGGCTGAGATCAGGATTACATAACCTGGGGTTCATGAATGGGTTTCAGTATTTATTGTTATTATTGTTATTATCATTATTATTATTATTATTATTATTATTATTATATATTATTTATTATATTATTATTATATATTTATTATTATTATTATTATTATTATTATTATATTATTATTATTATTATATATTTATTATTATCATTATATATTATTATTATTATTAATATTATCATTATTATTATTATTGGTAATTTTCTATATTACGTCCGCATGACCGATATCGACGATTTTGGTATCGTTGGATTCCTCTCATTCTCCACATTGCAAATATATAGTTTTTATTGCGCGCTACCCTCGTTAGCGACAAACTTGGCCCCCGATAGCAGGGGAGGGCATGAAAGGTTCCAGGGAAAATGCGGGTTAAAATTACTAATAATATAACGCACAGTGAAAATAACCATGGTCATTCACATAATAATTCCATTGCAGCGTGGCTTCCCTGAAGGCTGTACCCCCCTTTGCGGGGGGCCGCCCCCCAACCCCGCCGGAAACAAAACCTCCACCACGTATTCACGGCAGGCTAGAGCGTTACACAATCATCGTCGATGTCGGGAAGCAGGGGCGTTAAACCTCGTAGCATTCTCAGATATCAGGATTTACCTTTATTATAGTCAGCATTATATAGAGACGATTATTGTAGATAATCAGAATAACGACATTGTATTCCCTAACCGAAATAACCGTCGCGTTTCAGAAGTCAGTCATAGTCCGCGATGGGCCGAGTGTGGAGGGTGCTCGTACTCCGAGACGGATTTTCTGCGCGAGATTGCCATTAGCCAAGAAAAAATGCTAGATATGGGCTTCCGCCACGGCCTCCTTCGTCGTGAGAAAGATTGCGGCAGGTGCGGGCAGCCAGCACCCTGAATGTGAGCGTTGCATCACTTTTGTGTGTGCAGCGTCGCTGTATCCTCCGGCCTAGGACCTCCTGCCGGACGCACCCTGCCTCCTTCACATTTTGCGGCAAAGGAGCACCCTCCCTAGTAATTAGCGGCATTAATAAATCAGGTTAGTACCTTAAAAATCCTAGGTTATTGTAGGTTATCGGCTCCGCATCTAGTTCGTGTGCGCTCTACCTGCCGTAAATATCGTGGTGGAGGTTTTGTTTCCTCGGCGGGGGTTGGGGGGCGGGCAGCCCCCCCCAGGGGGGGTCGCAGGGGCACAGCCCCCTGCAATGGAAAGTCATGTGAATAACTATGGTTATTTTCACTGTGAGGTTAAATTATTAGGGTAATTTTCTATATTACGTCCGGCGCTCCGACATCGTCGCCCCCGCAATCGGGACCAAGTTTGTCGTTAGCGCGCAATAAAACCTATCTATTTGCATTGTATAGAGTGAGAGGAATCCAACGATACCAAAATCGTCGATATCGGTCATGCGGACGTAATATAGAAAATTACCTTATTATTATATATTTATCATTATTATTATTATTTTGCACACATTGCTTGTATAGTTGTGTTTACGTGAATATTTTTGGCGATGGGGGTCCATAGCTTTCATCTAATTCTTGTAATGGTCCGTGACTCTGAAAAAAAGTTAAGAACCTTAATACGAGATCTTTCTACAACTGATCCATGAAAATATTTGTAATATTGTGGTGAGTGGGCATTTAGCACGTTTACCACAGTATTCTAAAATTGGATGAACTTATTAAAAAAATGTAATTGTTATGTAATTTTAGGAAATAATTATGTCATGGGCTTAGAAATATCTATTTATGAGGTAATTGTATGTAATTTAAGGAAATAATTATGTCATAGGCCTAGAAATATCTATTTATGAGGAAGTCTGTTTACATTTTCGGTTGAGAACAGATATCTTTAGGGTTAAATAACCAGTAACTTGTCTTGGGCACACAAGCAAAAGGCGCGTGTATTGTGGGAGCTGAAATATTTATTAATGATCTTTAGGTTCTCTTTCTTGGTGTGCATTATGGTAACTCACGCCTTCTAGCCTTTTATGGGAATTCATACTCTCTCTCTCTCTCTCTCTCTCTCTCTCTCTCTCTCTCTCTCTCTCTCTCTCTCTCTCTCTCTCTCTCTCTCTCTCTCTCTCTCTCTCTCTCTCTCTCTCTCTCTCTCTCTCTTTCCTCCCTTCCTCCCCTCTCTTCTCTCTCCTTTCCTCCTCCCTCCCTTCCTTCCCTCTCTCTCTCCCTTCCTCCCTCCCTCTCTATGGACAAATAAATATTGCTTACTCCATGATATTAACTTAAGTACAACTGAATTTCGAATATTTTTTTCCCCAGGAATTTGGGAACATGGAGCTTCACAGAATCCGGATGAGTTTAAGAAAATTCTACTCGAGCAGATCCAGGGAGGCACAGACATGTCTCCTGTTAGGTTACCTGAAGTGCAGGTAACAATGGCAGTTTCTCTAAGTTATCGTGTCTCTGTTTCTAATTATGTCTGTGTTTCTGCCTCTGTTTCTAAGTCTGTTAGTCTAGGTCTCTTTCTTTCCTATCGCCTCCCTCTGTTTCTAAGTCTGTCAGTCTCTTTCTTACTCCCTCTTTCCTATCGCCTACCCATCCAAATCCCAATCATTAATTATCTTTTAATTTCTTTCTCTCTCTTAAAAAAACGGCCAATCTTTTATCTCTCACTCTGTCTCTTATCCGTACCTCCTTTCTCCTTTCCCTTCTCCCACTCCCCCTTTCTTTCCCCATCTCTCACAAGCGGTTTATGCATCCAGCCATCTATCCACCTATCTATCCAAGTACCACTTTTTAATCATTTAATTTCTCCCTTCCTTCTTCTTCTATCCCTTTTAAAAACAGTTGGTCCACGACTAAGAGTTTGTGTTTGCTATTTTCCTTTTTAATTATCTCACCTCTCTCTCTCTCTCTTCCTCTCCCCCTCCTCCCTCCCCTTCTCATCTCTCTCTCTCTCTTTCTCACGCGATATACTTATCTACCTCCCAATTATCAATTAATTCCTCTCTTTCCCCTTTTCTTTTTCCAAAACAGCTGGACCACGACCAAGAATTTGTGTTTGCCACCGTGTTGCTCCTGGAACCTGCACCTTACCACTTGCAGTTCAAACAACTAGTGGACAGAAAACCCACTGATGATGATGTACAGGTCAGTAATTTTTAATTTTTGTTTGTTTGTTACATAAAAAAAGTCAGTGATTTTTTTTTTTTTTTTTTTTTTTTGGGGGGGGGGGACTTATTTATTCATCTACCAATGATACACAAGCAAGTTTTTGCCTTCTCTGTATTTCTGTTGCTTTTGTTATATGAAAAAAAAGAGAAAATGATACACTGGCTTGTTTAGGAGACGCATTTATATATCCGCTGATGATACTCCGGTAACGTCTTACCTTTTCTGTAATTCTATTGTATGTTTTAAAATTTAACGAGAAGTCAGAAAATCTTATTGATGTTTTTGGGTGAAGTATATATATATATCTACTGATGACACACAGGTGCATTTTTATTTTTGTATGTCATGTTCCTTTGTAGTTGCTTCTCTTGTTTCTATTATTCGCATTCTATTATATTATTAGTAAAATGAATAGTAATAGAAGCAATAGTATCACTGTTACAATTCATTATTGGAATTCATAGTGCTACATTATTATTAATGTTTCCGAACTTGATTCCAAGCGAAGCAATAACCAAGTCTCTTTTTTTCCGTCAATATCAAATATCTTCCCTTTCATTGTCGTTGCCGTCAACATTATTATCATTACCTCCGCCGAGGAAGTTATTATTTTAGTAGCGTTGGTTAGTTTGTTGGTTAGTTAGGAGGATAACTCAAAAAAAAAAGTTATGAACAGGTTTTTTATTATTTTTCTACCAGAGGTTTGGCATTAAATTTTAGGGGTGACTGTATCATTTTTTTAATGATATATTAGCATTGCGTGGCAGGGAGACACGGGCGAGAAAGAGGTGATTTTAATGTAATTCTTCAAGTGTGAATAGTTTTATTGCATTAATCCTATTGCCTTGGCAGTGGTATGCGCTCTGTAAATGCTTCTAGTTATCATTATTATTATTATTATTATTATTGTTATCACTATTATTATTGTTATCATTGTTATTTTCATTATTATGTTATGCTACTATCATATATTATCAATATTTTATTATTATTACTATCATTGTTATTATTATCTTTAATACTATTATTATTATTTTTGCTGTAATTATTATCATCATAATTGCAGTTATTATTAGTAGTGGTTGTATTAGTATTATTATCGTTAGTAGTAATAGCAGTAGTAATAATAATAATAATAGTGATAATAGTAATAGTAGTAGCAGTAATACTAGTAATGACAGTAGTAGTGTTATCAGTATTATTATCATTATTATTATTCATCATTATTGCAATTATCAGTTTTGCAGTAGTATCATTAGTAGTGTTATCATTGTTATTATTGTCTTTAGTATCCATTCATCATCATTATTGCAATTATCAGTTTTGCAGCAGTATCATTATAGTATCATTGTTATTATTCATCCATTATTGCAATTATCAGTTTGCAGTTATCATTAGTATGTTATCATGCATTATTGCAATTTCAGTTTTGCAGTATATCATTAGTAGTTGTTATCATTGTTATTATTCATCATTATTGCCAATTATCTCTTTTTGCAGTAGTATCATTAGTTAGTGTTATCATTGTTATTATTCATTGCATTATAGTTTTCAGTAGTATCATTAGTAGTCATTGTTATTATTCATCATTATTGCAATTATCAGTTTTGCAGTAGTATCATTAGTAGTGTTATCATTATTATTATTGCATTATTCCATTATTCAATTATCAGTTCTTTGCAGTAGTATCATTAGTAGTGTTATCATTGTTATTATTCATATTTATTGCAATTATCAGTTTTGCTTCATCATTAAGCGAATTGATGCAGCAGTCACATTTCTCTCCAAAGACAAAATGCCTTCCAGCTGACTTTGTTTACCTTAAACAGCTGGAGTTCGCTACAGACGATGATGACATGTGTGCCAGCGGCTGCCTGCGGTTTTCCACATTCGAGTGCAAGTGAGTGCAATAACAGGGTTTTATTGCAATGACAGGTGACAATATCAATGGCAAGTAACAGTAATTAAATTACACGGCTTTTATTGGCAATGACACGGTGACCAATATTAATAACAGGGTTTTATTGCAATGACAGGTGACCCAATAATTATAACAGGCTTTATGCAATGACAGGCTAACAATATTAATAATGACAGGTAACAATCATTAATAATAGCGCTTTATTGCCAATGACAGGTGACAATATTAATAGGGAGCTTTATTGCGCAATTTTGACAGGTGACAATATTAATAACAGGCTTTATTGCAATGGACAGGCTGACCAATATTAATAACAGGCTTTATTGCAATGACAGGTGACAATATTAATAACAGGCTTTTATTGCAATGACAGGTAACAATATTAATAACAGAGTTTTATTGCAATGACAGGTGACAATATTAATAACAGGCTTTATTGCAATGACAGGTGACAATATTAATACAACAGGCTTTAATTGCAATGACAGGTGACATATTAATAACAGGCTTTATTGCAATGACAGGCAATGACAGATATCAATAAACAGGCTTTTTATTGCAATGACAGGTAAACAAAATCATTAATAACAGGCTTTATTGCAATGACAGGTGACAATATTAATAAACAGGCTTTATTGCAATGACAGATGACAATAATTAAATAACAGGTTATTGCAATAACCAATATATAATAACAGGCTTTATTGCAATGACAGGTGGCACAATATCAA